ATTATAAAACGTCCGGTTTTGTCTTTCTTATGCTTGTGACGTGATCATATTTCAATTTTTCAGATAAAATCTCTAGAAGACGCAAACGAGGAGGGCTTCCGCAAAGCAGCGGCGAAACATGATACGGACAATAAAAAAGCGAGTAAAAAGAAAATAAGAATTGTGCTATTCGTATACTTAGAGCTGACTGCGTTGCTTTCAGGCTGTACGCGAGCTACAGAGAGAAGTGAAACAGCTCTATGTGGAATTAAATGAGAAAACTGAAGCATTGGATGAGGCGCGGGCTCGAATCTCAGAATTGGAATCGAGCTCTTCGAAAACCTGGTGAAGAGACTGTGATTCAGAAGCAAATCCATACAGATGTGGACGCTTCTCTGAATTATGGGGTAGGATTTATTCTAGTCTCATCCAATGATTTCCAAAATTCCGCCTTGATATTTCTACCCCAGCGATAACAGTGCTTTGACCATTCCCGAAAACGGTTAGAGTGTTTGGTTCATGCCTTTCATGTGATTAGAGTGGTCTTCATTTCGATCCCATGCTTTTTTGACAGTTTTGAAGTAACAGACAGTTTTTGAATTTATTCGCTCATTTCCGGGACTTTCAATTTGATGAAAAAAGAAAGCTAGAATTGATTGTACTCAGGAGGTCGTTTATGACGTCGTGGTACGCTTTAATACGGCTTTTTGCATTTTGTAGGGGCAGATACACTGAAAAGGATAAGGGGATCATTTTCGCTAGAAGGTTTTGAGAATGCAAGCAAACGAAGATAAAGAGTTCATCGGAGAGAGTAGCCTCGAGGGGTCCAATCACAGAATTCGCTGGGAACTTGGGACCTGAGAATGCCCCATAAATATGATGATAACAAAGCTATTACCGGCGCAGACACCGCAGTTCAAAATGAATCAACATGAAAATCTGCCAATATTTTTGTTGCATCATAGCAACGGAAACGCGGCAGATGGAGAGCTGCTTCTGCTATGGAGAGACACTTCAAGAATATTTTGCTGAAAGCTTTTATCATCGGCGGTACCCTGTACTACGAGAATTTTACTGATGAGGCCATGAGCAAAAAGTTTTTTTGGCCTTTCTGTAGATGCCGGGGGACGACATGGGAACACATTCGGCGGGTAAAAATGCCATGCGCGTGGCTTACGATTTACACAAATCTGATTGCGCTTTTTGGCAATATACTTGGCACCCTGCCATTTGGCTTGTTAACCGGTCGACATCTCTGGGCAAGGTCGTCAAAGTCAGGTGTACGGCTTGGTGCTGCATGTTTATAGCGCAGCAGGTCTGGAAATCGGTATTTGTGGAGCTAGAATTCCTGCTCTGGATAATAAATCACTTTAAGCAAACGAAAATCATGAAATTACGATGTCGGTGAGTTATATGTGAAAGAAACTATTGCGAAAAATACTATTGCGAATTCCACAAATTAGTCAAAAGTTGAGCTGACCATTGTTGCATAATCGTTTTTCTTGCGCTCATTCTTGCCATTTAAATATCCATTTCCTTTCCTTGTATTTTTGTAGCCTTCATGTCCACCCATTGATCCCAATCAAGAGGACTTCAATGTCAACCCAACTCTTTACTGCAAATTTTCTTTACTACGCCTGGTTCTCGCAGCTCATTGCACCTCTCTGTCCTGTACCAGCTTGGGCATCCGTTGACCGTGAACCATTAGTCTTCTTTGAATTTGTCCTCTTCGCTTTTATCGCATGCTGATTACGAAATGTTTCCGTTGCAGTACGAAGAAGAACTGGAGTCAATGCGACGAAAATTGAAAGACTGCCATAAAGAAGTTGACGGGTTACGAGAAACTAATTCACGTCTTGAACGGCTACTCGAGCAATCGCATCCGCAGCCTGTAAGTTGACGTTTGCAAACGATTTTTATTAGTAAAAATGGGGTTACATAATTCAGAGTTCCCCAGCAGTGATCAATGTGAATGGGGGTAGTCTGTATGACGGTATGGGATTTGCTGATCCAGCTGAAGCAGAGGTGAGATAGTTTTCATTATCCTATTTAGCTTCACTAGAACATCTCAAGCGCCCGAAATTATGCTGATGTAATCATTGAATGTTTCCATTTCAGTACCTGAAAAATGTTCTATATCGATATATGTGCTCAAGAGAAAACCTTGGCAAAGAAGCTGTGGTAAGTCTTACCACACATTTCTAGTGGTATTCATCTGTTTAGCTTTTATTTTTGTGTTTTCTTTGTGTGTCTTGTTTCCTAGTCTTGAGATTCGTTCATTAGGAAATTTTCCTATTTTTTCATTACTTCAAACCCTTTGACCTTGTGATGGTTTTACTATTCCCTCCTCGCACTGGTGCAACTTATTAACAACATTGCACCTTTGGCACGTCTGATTACAATTATATTCCCTTTCTATATTCTTTGTATTTTTTCTTTTTGTTTAACGGCTACCACGGTAGGCGGATTTGTGATTTTGCGATCGTGCGATCGGAAGATTGCTTGATCGATACGTACCCATTGCACAATCGAACCCATAACGAAGGACAGGCGTCGCGGGGTATGATCGCGGCCCTAGTTTTCATACTCGTAGCATATCCTCAAGCTGGTCCATTTCACTTTTCTGCGGAATGTGACTATTTCTGTAGTGACATGATTGAATTTCAGACGCTTGCTCGAGTTATTGGCACAGTGGCCAAATTTTCGAAGTCAGAAATGGATAATGTGATATCACGAGAAGAATCTCGAGTGGCCGGATGGGTCGGCGGAACCGTCTCACACGTGCTCACTGGACGATAACCCATTCTATTCTTCCCAGAACTTTTCCATATCAAACCTATGTTACTGCTCACGCTTGAATCCTTCAATAATCGCTTTTTGGTAGGGCTGTTTTCACAACATATTTCAGCGCTTTGGGCCAAGACGCGACAGAATGACTGGTAGAATGCGCCAAATTATCTGTGTATCTCACGTCAGTCGTGGGCAGCGTTTAGAACGTTGCCTTTTTGATTATGCGCTCAATATCTCTGCACTGTGGTGCACCAGCGGCATGTTCGGCTACTGCAGCTATGTGTGAACTTCCCGATGTTCAATGCTGTTAGAATTTAGAGTGGCTCAACATGAATTCACTTGTCGCTTGCCTTTCCATTTCTCTCGTTTGTACATTTCTATTTATTTCATGTTATTTGATCAGAGCTGCAATGTAAAAATAGTGCTGTTACTAAACTGTAGTGAGTTTTTCGACGTCCCGTATGTCTGTGAGGATTGTTCTGTGATTACTATGCATAGTCATTGTTGTACCTACATAGTCGCGAATTATTATATCTCTAAAAATTGAGCAAACGCTGGAGGTGGTTTTTTAATTGTTTCGTTGAAGATCATAAGACTAATGAATAAATTTATATAATATTGGTTTGGTGGTATGTTTGCTGAAAGCTGAACGCTTTAGCAGATATCGCATTTTTTTCAGTTTCAGGTTTTTACGGCCCACTACCGATCTTGGCTCATCACATTAATACTTCGACGACAGCGTGGCGACAGGTTGCGCGTCCCACCCAGGTCATCCCTTTTCTCTTCCCAAATTATCTATAGGGTGGTCGCAGATTACGGTAACAGGATATGTGATCACAGGAAATTTATACAGCACGTAAATGACCACCGGAAAACATATTAGGTTGTCCGGAAATTAATGCCGGTTTTTGACCTCCGTCTTCAAAGCAACATATCTCAGCTCAAACTCAACATTTTCAGTAATTCAAAAAAGTGTTGGAAACTACTCATTTTTCTTAACAGGAAGCGTACTGGTTTAATTAACGAACTTGAGATACAGGAACAATAGAAGCTCAAATATCGGCCAAGGTCTTTTCCATCATGTCTCGGTTTTCAAATCTTTTTCTCCCCAAGAAGCTGTCGAGATTGCCGGAAAACAGGAGGTTGGTGAGGGTGAGATCCTGCGAATGCACTGTAAGAAGCAAAGCTGGATAGGTTGATTTATCCCTTTCTTACGAAGACCTTTGTGCGACATGTGGCTGGGCGTCAACATGGAGAACAGTTCTTTTCCTTCTTCTGGTTAGAGGCCTTGCTCTTTACGGAGCATTATATCGATGTTATGGACAGACATTGATGCTCTACCAAAATCACCTGGGTTCAGAAAGCTGCGATGCATCATTACTCCGGAAGGCCACGAAACCATCAGCATGGTCCTCACCTTGTAGAAATTCTACTTTGGAAAAAGTTTTTGATGTTCGTAGTTGTTTAGATTTTTGGAAAATTGCTCTATTCTATAGCGAAGGGTCCTATTTCCGTCGAGGATGACGAAAAGTTCCAGAGTCGGACATTTTTGTTGAGTAAAAAAAGTTGTGCCAAGATCCCTGCAAGGTGACTTTGCTGCTGCTCAGTCAGTTCATGCGGTATCCACTTATCCAGCTTTCTTACAAATTTCAGTATGCTTGCTCAAGGTTATGCTGCTGGCTGCCGTACACTTGTTTGGAAATCTTCTTCTGCCGGGTCTTCAGAAGGCCGCCGTCAAGAGGAGAATGTCGTCCGTAACCCCCCTCACTTCGAATCTAGATTTCCCTAACTTGAAAGCTTCGGAGCCATCGAAGCAGTGTGCTTTTATTGCAACATCCTTAGCCCCACACAGCAATCCTATTCCGAGCTGTCCGCACAGCACCCTCTCCAAATTTCAACTCATAGAAGTGAACCTGCTCAAACCACTACTTTGACGCCTTCACTTCAAACCTTTAAAAAAAGTGAGGCCCGAGTCCCATCAAAATACAATGGCCGTGCAAGAAAGAGAATGAAATGGGCTTTCCAACGATATGCAATAGTACAGCAATCGTATGGAAATTTCTCGGAAAAATATCAAATAAAGTATGAGACATTGAAACCGGCATGAATTTCCGGACAACCTAATAGTTGTATTAGCTGAAGGTTAAGAAAGACAAAAAAAACAAGGTTACGTCCCGAATCAGCTGTTGTTGACATTGACGGAGCGAAGTAGTCCGTGTGCCTCATTAATCGTGGGCGGGTTAATTGTAAACGGTGAACTCATCCCAGGAATTTAGATCAGCCTTGTTCTACGCTCATGTGCCTTTTGAGAGATTCTCCGGTGCCCCATAGCGTACAATCGTTATCTCAGTTTGATTTGAACCGTACATGCGGCCGTTCTTGTTACCGTAATTTCCACCCTGTATATTCATTCTTTAGATCATATATCGTAACATAATTGTCAACGACATGGTTCACCTTATGGCCAAATATGCTTCAATTGAGCGGAGGATTCTAAGCCTTATGGAATTGGCAGCTGGTTTCATTCCATGTTTTTGTTATTCTTAAAATATTATTCTTTAAACTATTATTCTTAATTTTTATTCTTAATGAAAAAAGCGTAGCAGAAATGGACACAATCCTACACGGATAGCGAACTTGGCAGAATCACGTCAAAAATACTTTTGAAAGTTGTTAAGGTAAATATACCATTGAAGGCCAGATCAAGAAACGTGACTTACCTCAGTTTCCTCGATAAGTTCGAAGGACGAAAAAGGAGAAACTTCGATCTAGCATGGCTCTTCCCGCGGTGCTATCTGCACGGTACGCCTCTCTCTCCCTCACCCTCGCTGTCAGACCCTTGAGCCGTTTAGCAGAGGTGTTGTCACCGCCTTTCAGAGGAAGGCCCGCCCTTCGCGGATAGATTCCATTTCGACCCGGCAACTCTATGCACGCCATCACCCATTTTTCCGAGACTATTTTGAAACCAAACTCGGAATTTGCGCTGCCGGTACTGTTTACTTTAAGGCAGATTTTACGATGAAAAGGTAGCCCATTCGAAATAAGGGTAGAGGTGACTAGTGGAACAGGGATGAAGAAGAAACAGTGTGGAACGACCCGAAAACCGAGAAATGCGATCTCTTTCATTGCCTGTTCATGTCCGTACTGATACGACTCTGTGCCCTTTACAACACTTCCGCATAGACCTGCGGGTGACCTGCGGCGAGTGACTGGGCGTTCCGCGTCAACTGTGCCAAAAGGAAGGCGATGTTAGATCACCAGGGTCATACCCTTTGATGCGAATTGTGTGTTGCCACACCCTTAGGAGGTCCGCCTGTCTCTCCATTAAGTGAATTTCCCTTTCTTCGACCTTTCGTTCTTATCGTGGAACCCTCCTTTAATCATAGCGTGACTCTCCGGGGGATAGAATGATTCAACAAGAAAAGGAGGCAGAGTGTGGCGGGCGGATGCATTTCTCAAAAGGGAGAAGGGACGGATAGGGTCGGAGGCAGGGTCAACCGTACGTTGCGCAGCTGTGAAGGAGGAGGTCGTGTTCGTTTTTGGAAGGGAAGGGA